ACATGTATATATATATGTATATATATCAAGCCTGTCGTCGTATTGTATATGGTGTTTGCATTACTGATTGGCGCAATCTAACTTGTTGACATACAACAACTCACAAGTACTCACAGTTGTCTGTTGTGATCATTTATACCATCGAATCGATCCTTACCCACTTCTATTTATATCCTCATTCTATATATGGTGTCTGCTTTGCAGGGTGGCGTCATTAGTAAAGTCGCCCAACTCTGCGCAAGTAGAGACGCGTGTGCAGTCACTTCAGAATGACCTCAAGGAAAGCAAGAGGGAGATTGATCAGTTACTTCAATCGGTTGCCATGGCACCAGTTTTAGGCGAGACGTTTTTTGCCGGACAATACAGTGGTACTCTTTATGTCTATTTTAAGGTGCTATCGAGATTTTACATGTACAATGGTACTCTGTATCTACTTTTAGATGCCATGCTAAATTTAGTTTTTTATATGTACAATGGTTCGTAATCTATTTTTAAATTCCATGCTAAACTTAGTTTCGGAATGGACAATGTTACTCGCTCTATTTTTAGATACCATGCTAAATTTATTGATTGCCTGTGTCTACGCTTTCCATATCCGCTATATGTATTGGGAAAGTTTCGTGGTAAGCTGCGTTACTTAGACCCCACGTGCATGCTTTCAAAGGCATCTCATTTGCCTTAATGCAATATAAGACCATGTGCAGACGCCTGCAGGAGCCCCAACATATGTAAACCAAATAGCATCGGACATGTATCACGTTTCTTTATATATAGTCGACGCGTGGCTGCATCCTCAACTACACCACGGCCTGCCTTCTGAGCATCGAAGGTGTTTGTATGGCCCGTGGTAGTAAGGGCGCTGGTTACTGCCACAAACACACACGCTGATACGGAGAAGTGTAGATGTCACGTACACTGACATACATGCGCATGCCTTACACTGTGATATCGTACCTGGTTGTAGACTAGAATAATTTACACATACACGCTCATAAGCATCTATAGACAGATTTATATAATGCTTGTTACAGCCACAGGTATCTTCTATCTACCACTGCTGCTGGCCTGACCCATCCACATGCACGTCCATATGCATCTATACACTAAATGATACAATGTTCATTACAGCCATAAGTATCTCCCATCTGCCATGGATGCTGGCCTGACCCATCCACATGCACGTCCATGTGCACCTATGCACAGACAGATTTGGTATCATCATTCGCATACCCACTTTGCTCAAACAGCATATCATGACCATGTCAATTGTAGGGGTTGAGGTGAAGGTGCATATGCTACCAGAGGAGCTGTCTGCTAAGATTGTCCGCTTACGAGCTACTCATTTGGCTAAGGTGTGTTTGGTGTGAACTACATACTGATGTGTGTATATGATATGGAAAAAATCATAGATGAATATATTCATGGATAAACATATACATAGAGGGATTTATTCATAGATTGATATACACACACACATATATATATATATATATATATATATATATCCATAGATTAATAGAATTTATATGAATATATCCATAGATGAGTATATTCAGAGTTCTATATTCACATAGAGTGCACGTCGATACAGGACATCACTGCCAAGCAGCAGCTGCGTATATCAATACAACAATTCACCCACCCCACTATATGTAGTACATTGTACTAGAGATAGTGCATCCCGTCAGTCATAGGGATTGAGCAAATAAATTTTCCTATGTGTTATAGAAGACTTCGACCACTCGGATAGTTACAGTTTTCTTGGTGCACAATTATATCTTGTAGTAGAGTATGTAGGTATATATATGAATGTTTGTATGTATGTATATATGTATGTATGCATGTATGTATGTATGTATGCATGTATATATGTATGTATGTGTATATGTATATTTGTATGTACATAAGTATGCATATGTGTCTAAAAGGCTCGGTGGGCACTTTTTGAGTATCGATAGGTGACTATCGCGACATATACAATACTACAGCCAACAAAGTCTTGGCTAAGTGGTTGTTGCTTAACCTATGAATGTTCTGATCCGCTACACCACACATACAAATCAGGTGGAGACGGGGACTGCGCACGTGTGCATACACGGAAACAAGTTAGTCGCATCCAAATGCGGAACCATCTCCAAAGGTATGTAACGTATTCGAGAGCGCCAAACAAGAGACCCTCCTAGATACTTGACTGCGAAGCACCCATCACATTTTAAACGTCGATTCGTCAACCGAATCAACACTCACTACAAACGCAGTTTGAACACTTTGTTTATGATGCCTGATATTGGTTTTTGAAATTAGGTACACAGTGCGTTATTTTGACTTGAATGCCGATGCAGGGAGACCATCTACCTACACACGCACACGTCCCCGTCTCCGCATTGCATGTCTTCATTCGTGCAGCACACCGTCTAATACCATACATCACGCACATACAGACGTGATCCATTGCGGCCAGTTGGTGAAGTGTGTCACGACAGAACTCGGTGGCAAGGGAGGGGGTAGCCCTACTTTAGCAGAAGGCAGTGTCTCCGCTGAAGCGCTGAGTGCTCAGGCTATCGTCGGTGCTGTCGAGTATGCACTTCGAATGTGAACGTACGATTTTCGCGATAAAATAGAAATACACGCGATGATACGACTCAACATAAATTTGTGTAAAGGAGTCATCTGGCTCTCTGACTCTCTGACTCTCTGTCGTCAGAGTCAGACTCGTCGCTTGTCAGTACAGTTGTCCTGGTTGACTTTTAAATATAAAATAAAGACAGGGGTGTATAATTTAGAGGGCTATGTTAGGGGGTGTCTTTTTTTTAAAAGAAAACGGGTTCGAAAGTCTTTTTTTTTTAAAGTAATATGGGTTCGGATTTAAATTCGGATTTTCGCTACACCAATGGATGAAGGCTAATTTTAAAATTTAAAGAGGGCAAACTTTATTGGGGCATCATATCCTAAAAATAATTCGATACAGTAATTGTCCTTCGGACGCTAGTCCGATCCGCGATCGATTGGCCATATTTTGTGCTTTCTTCTTTCTTTACTCCTAGAGAGTATTTCATTTTGTACCAGGACTGGGTCAATCTAGCCACACGTCAGCGTTATACAAGTCCATCCATACTTAACAGACCTTTCTGGCATCATAGCATGGAGTGAAACTGGCATATCCAATTGTACGTACGCTGCACCTATAGTAGATGACCAGAAATGGCACCACATCGCGCATGTGTACAATTACACACAGGGATCTGTCGAGGTTTATTTTGACGGCGAGTTGCATGCTATATGCATCGAAGAGGAGCCCATACGAGACAATGTTTATGAAGGTATTGTGTGGAACGGTGTATGTTGTTGTTTATATACGTTTGCACAAACCGGATTACAAGTATGAAGTTGTACGTGTGAGTTTTGCTTATGAAAGTACGCCTACATGCATGTGGCTAGGGATTATCCGGAGGTTCGAAGAGGACAAAAACAGCGTATTTTTTTCTTCTTCAATTTTTATAAAAGGATTAGTCAGTGCAATATAACTGTTGCAGGTAGTCAAATTCATACTATTCCTCGACAGTGATGCATGCACCTGTACGATGTTTTAGGGTTTGTGGGTTTTAGGATGGTGGCATATATGTAGTGTCGACGTATGGGTCTTTCTCATAGGAGGTCGATGGTATTCAGATGTTGTCGGCTCTAAGCGTTAACTTCACAGTGCCACACCAGTTTGGGGTCTCGTAACACTTGTCTTGTTCACTTTGTTGCCATTCGAAGATGTTCACAATGTATGCCTTTAATGGAGTTGTTTCTCTCGATTCCACTTCATAGATTTCGTGCGCGAATTTCCAGCAAGATCCTCCATAGTGCTCGGGAGCATAGGTCCGCAACCGAAGCACAATATCTTGTTCAGCAATTTCGCGGGGCTGCTCGATGACTACAGACTGTATACCATCCCTCTGACACAAGACGATGTTCGCCAAGCCATGGTTTGCATAGTATGTGTGGAGGTATAGGGCTATGGCGCAATGCTTCTCATTGGTCGTGCTTGTGAAATTCGGATGAGGGCATTATAATAGGCCTGTGTATGGCGACTGTGTTGATAACCTGATCAGATCCTTTGCAGCTTGACGATAGGGATAATATTATTTGTTTCAAAAATTGGCAAGTATGTATGATACAATGTATGAACATATGGTCTTGACGATAGCCATCTCAATGAGTGCCAGGAGGTTCTTCTCGTTGCTATCTTCCTCTTCGCATATTTCGCGTACCAACTTCCGATTCAAACCTCGACCACATACAGTTGAACACCCCAGCCCAAACGGACTTCTCATCGAACAGTTCGCAGCACAGGACAAGATCCAACCGCACCAAACTACACCTTAGCGGACATACGAGTTACCTTGGAAGGTACACGGGTATAATTGGATTTTGAAGATTGGAGGGACAACCAAAATCTGTAAGTAGTTGTTCAGATATTATAATATTTAGTTTATAATATCCAACATCTACTATCGTCTCAAATAGGTCCAAGTAAATGAGTCATACCAAATACTCAGGCTATTGGGGCCATCAAAGTGAATTTAGAACACTTTGGAAATATTGGAAAAAGAACTTGTATTAAATTATTTTAAGTTCAAGAATAAAAACCAATGTGTTATCTTATTTGATCTGGATATTTTAGACTGACCGGAGGCCGTATTTCTACACGCCTCAATATGGTACCAAAACCTGTGTACTCTGTCGTGATTATCCGGGCGATCAACTTCGAGCAGCGCCGCCAGACGATCAGCAGAGATCGCGACGCCCTGATAGTTACACTTAGCAAGGTCAAACTGAAAATCGTACCTATCACAGCGCTCAAAAATGGTATCAAGTGGTCCCAGTGCTCCGAGCCATCAACCGAGGTAATTGACAATATCATCAATATATACCCATAGAGTCGTGCATCACTGAATACACCGCGGCAGATATGAAGATGCAGGTTTTCCATCTTACCCAACATATGATACAAGCATAGTCTGAAGGGCGTACAGATGATCCCCGTTCGTTGTAGGGTTTAGTTCGTATTTATAATGAGACGTTGAGGACATACTCGGTGGCGATAGACAAACCCCACCTAATCCACAGGGCAGCTATCATTCAAATATACCGCAGAAGATGCAGCTGCATGCGTTTATGTTGGATTGGCACAAGAATGCAAATTTTTATAAGTTAGACCTACATAGGGCTCTTCAGAAAGAAGGGGCGCCTAAAGCGATATTGAACTTTATTGTGGATAGCAAACAAAACTTACAGTCGATGTCGTTTCAGGAAGCCACTGCTTTTATTGTACACACACATGAACAGATCCTGGGGGGCAACGCATACATAAATGTATTGGCATGCATGGAGTTAAATCCTTCGGTGCCACTTGAGACAGATTCGGGACTTTGGATGTAAAGTGAAATTTATGGAGACGCGACAGTATGAGAATCCGCTACAGATATACCGCTAAAATAGTGAGCTGAATCTAATACGTCAGGCTATGGATGAGCATGTTATAGTATTATTCTTCGTACGCATCCTCACTGGCGAGAATACTCAGCGGAACAAATTCATGATGTATTTCGGGTGAGTATTGACAAGTCAGAAGAATACCGCCGGGCAAATCTATCTCGACCGCAAAAATTTCGGGAGATTTGCGTTTACGCTCACGCGTGCGTGCGGAGGCAAACAAACGGGCTAACCCGCATGCACCACCAGAATTGAATACCCGGGCTCTCTGTCGGTCACGTGAGCATAATCTCCCTCCTGGTCCAGCACATGCACCCCGCTGTCCTAAACAACAGTGAGTACTAATCTCGACCAGCCGTGCACATCCTGGAAATGCTCCCACACAACGTACAATGGCTGTGGGCGCATCTGCGCGTACACAACAAGCGACAGGTAATAATTTCCGCCCTCGAGTTAATCTAGTTGTAAACCGTTATGGACTTCAATAGCTAAAGTAAATTGACTAACTAAATAAAAACGCGAGAGACTAAAAGTAAGTTAGCTTACAAGTCCGGTTGTTAACTACTTGTTACTTTAAAGTAATAAGTAAGAGACTGAGGCCTTAGTCAGAGGGCACCCGACTTTTGTAGGCCGCCGAGTCTCAGCCGTCATTGATATTTTATTAAGGATTTCTAAAAAATCTAATAAAGATTCAATTCTTTGTTATATGGACGGTTGGCACTTTTGGCGCCTTTTAATTATCTCTTAAGAAATATTAATTTATAATAATAGAATCATCCAATTAATATATTTAGAACTGAATTTAAATGGCCACTTTTCAAGAAAATAAATATAAAAATATAAAAAAATAGACAGTCCGTCCCTAGGTTGGTGTGATAAGGCCCTAGGGGTCGGCCCGAGGTTGGTGTTATTAATAGTTAAATATTTTAGTTTGTAAAAACTAAGTATATTAATTATTAGTTTATAAAAATCTTTGTTTATCTTTTAAAAGAGGAAACATAAATAACCTTCAACCTTTATACTATGAGCCATCTCGTATAGTACATTATATAAAAGAAAACTATTTATTATATATAACTCAAATTATATATAATTTATGTATTAGTAATAATACATAGTAAAACCTTTACACAAGACAATGCTAGAATTATTAACTCTAATAGATAGTAATGTCTTATATGAATTTTACTCTACGACCTGCTATGATATCATAGCCCCCCGCCAGCTCTAAGCCATCGAATATAATACTGTCTAGGTACCATTGTGGAGAAAGAGCGAGAAAGGAAGCAGGTGCGGTGTACAACCTAAGGAGATAAGGTATGTAAATACTTGAAATATTCTAAGTACTATAGTATGTAAATATTTCTCACGTAAGTGAGTCCACCCTTGTTCGCTTGGTATTCCTAGTTCCACCCGTTTGCTGGAGTACACGCTTACATGTCATAGACTTTGGAAGTTTATCTCTATAAGAGAAGACCAGAACTCAGTCCAGGATAAGAGTGCGCAGTAATCTTATCTGCTTGAAGTAAGAGCTCGTCTTTATCTTCCAGGTTTTTATGTAGGCGCTTAAGCCACTTCCTATTTTTATTTTTTAAGTAATCAGGATCACCAAAATCTGAAGACGTAAGGTTATAAACCTCATTGTCGTGAAACAATGTTTTATAATAAGTAATTCCGTTAACGGATTCTATACCCTATTATTTTCTTGAACTCTTGTTATTCAAGGGGTGTGGTATCATCATATGTACGACAGAGTATTATTTGGTCACTCGGTTTACGAGACAAGCCCACATTAAGTGCGCTTGTACCATCTACATTATTAATCTCATATAGGTATCAGACTTTTCGTCATGAACAGAGATCATGTACGGACCTATATAGGAAGAATATAATTTACCAGTATCCGAATTTCTCTGGAATATGTTAACATAATCACCTTTCTTGAAGAAAACTTGTTTCTTCTTTTGAGACCAGCGACCCTGCGCTTTTAAAAGCGCAGTCTTTTGCTTATCTTTAAGTACAGGGTATACAACCTTGTGTACTCTATCTAATCGTTCCGGCTACTTTAGTGACTGTAACTTTTCAGGTACCCCTTCTACAAGAGGTTGTAACACACTTTTTCTACCACGGAAATTGTGTGATGGGGTTACGCCGGTTATAGGATGAGGTTTTTCATTCATCTGATCTTGTACCCGTGTCAACGATAGGGCCAATCACTAGCATCGGTTTTAATGCAGTCCTTAATAGGAACTTAAGTTTCCTATGACAGACTTCATTGCCACTTTGCGTTTGTGGCCTATAAGGGACACCCCGTTTTTCACATATGCCAGATACGAGTTTAAAGGCCATTATTATATCGCTTATAAACTCACCGCCGTTATCATAACATAAGTATAATGGGTAGCTGTGATCGGCAAAGATGCGCAAGCATAATTCCACCATTGTTTCATGTAGTTTATTCCTGACAGGATAAAACAAGTTATACCTAGAGGCTATATCAAACATGTGAAAAACATACTTCTCATCATGTCGTCCTACTACATCCATTACAATTAAATCAATGATGACCCTGCGCATTGGTTCATCTTCGAGCACCGACTTTAGTGATGCCCAACCATAGCGCTTGATTTGATTCTTCTCGCACTCCACACACTTAAAAGTACTCTTGTTCGCAGAGCTTAAGAAGATTAAGGTTGATCAGACCTCTGCGCTTTGATTCTGCGACCATCGCATCTACTGCTGAATGCGTGAAGTTATAATATTGCTTGATGCACTTAAATGTATCAGCATCTGACGTATTCGAAGAAGTCTAAACTTCTCCTGAGTCTGAACTCTTGAGAGAGATTTCCCCTTGAATTATAGGCTCCTCAGGAGATGTCTGAGAAGCAGAAGCATCGATAGATATGGACTTGTCTATATCTTCATTTTGTACTTTATCCTTTAAAGGATAATCAGTAGTAATACTGTTAGAATCGTGCGCATAAGCTTGACTTAAGTCAGTCAACTTAACGAGTTGATCATATACTTCAGGCATGTATGATTCTAGTTCGGGTTTCTTCGGTCGCATCTTTCATACTACTATGAAAACGATCGGCTATAACTTCAGCTCTACTCTCATAAAATTTAGATGCAAATACTTCGTGAGTATTTTTCTCAGGCTCTGAAGACTGTGTATCATTCTGTGTTTCTGTATTTTCATGTACAGGATTATAAACAGTTTTACTATATATTTGATTAAAGAGAATGGTTGACTCATCTACCCTACGTTGAAAGTCATCTGAAGGCCTCTAAGTAAAAGTTTCTTCTGGGCCAATACGACGTATTATCGTATGGCGCCATGGCGTCTCTTTAATCGCCCGGGTACCCATATACAGGAAGGTGTCAACCTCACGATCCAAGTAAATTGGTTCGTTCTGTATCATATCCACTAGTTCTTGGAGCCAGGGATCAGATTTCCGTAAAGGACAACACAGAGTGATAGTGGCGTTCATTATGTTAACATAATTGAGCAATTGCCGGATTAACTTCCAAGGCAGATTTGCCCATGCGTTATGTTCTCTGAGATTATTTTCAAACGCGTTACCCTTTGGATGATTTGGGGATCTATAATCCGGAAGTTGTGCATTTTGTATTGCTGAAAACATATCAATTGTATGTTTACCCCAACTCTTTTTAGCTAACCGAAAGAATCGTGGGTGCAACTTCCAATCAGTTGCTAACAACTCTCGGACAGTCTTCTGATAGTCTGGTGACAGACGAGTCAACATATCCGGTAAGTGGTTGTGCACACCTGGTGTATGTTCTATCGTAAAAGAGAACTGTCATAGACGGTCATGCCATCTACTTACCAGTTGATTGTGTGGCTTCATATCATTAAGATATTTTAAAGACTTCTGGTCACACGCCACTTTAAAGTGTGTGCCATAAAGTTTGTCTTTAAAGAACTCTAAAGCAGATACAATTGCTAACAATTCCTGCTTTACAGTAGGATAATTTCGCTGTGAAGCATTTAAGCTCTTGCAAAAGAACTGTACTTATCTAGGTCTGTTCTCAACAACCTGATATGGTACACCTCCTACAGCATTATTCGATGCATCCGTCGCTATTTTAAACGGTATACCGTCTATCCAATTCCTTAACCTTACCACGTAGCGAAGGTCAAGAGGATATCTTTTAAAGGAGACGAACGTATTATATTACCACTTTAGAAGATATCCTCTCAACTGTCACCACGTAATATCAATGCTGAGTTGCCCCGTTGGAATCATCCTTTGAAGGCCTCTTCTTAATATGAACTTTCGGTATTAAAGTACAAGTCTGTGCATACCATGCGTCTTCTTGCATGTTGTACACTCTAGTGCATGCATACAAGAATCTTTACGTTTCCCATAAACATTCTGTTTAGGCTTGTTTTGACGTAAGACACTATCATATTCAACACACAACGCATACTTAATTATAAAACCTTTCTGCTGTTGTTGTTGAGTGTGTTGCTCCTTTTGGAGTTGTTACCATGGTTGTGCT